ATAATAATAATATTTTATGACTATTTCTAGCCATTTATTATTTCAGATCCAATCTTTAATTATTTATCAAATCCTATAATAATGTAATAAATATTTTATCAATAAATTAGTGTATATAATATGTATACAAGAAGTTCAATCAAAAGAGTGTTTTTTATGTTTTGAGTTTATAATTTAAATTTGCCAAATTAATTTAGCCAGTATTTGTTATCTTTACATTACTAAACTATTTCTAGACTTATCGTGGAATATATCCTTGCTCATTAACTTATATCCCAAATATTTGCTGTGCTGCCCACTGTGCGTTGTCTGCTGAGCTTTTTTTCACGCATCTCAGTGCGTGGCATCTAATTAATTCAGCAACTGTCTGGCGTGCTGTACCTACACACACAAACACACACCTTGGTATCTCCCACTCTCGCCAGAGGGCGCTGCATGCTGCGTGTGTGAATTTTAAAAAGAGTCGGCAGCTGGCTGACAACGCGCATCCCGTCACCTAGTCAAGCAGGAGTCCCTGCCCAAACCAAAGCCAAAGCCAAACCAAAGCCAGGCAACGTCTTCAATGCCAGCGAATGCAAAATTAAAAAACTTTACATTTGCCCGGCGTAAATAAACATTTTTATTTGGCGTTAGCTGCGGCTCCAGCTGATGCTGCAACCGCATTTGCGACTGGCAGGCGACTGCGTCTTCGCCTTGCAAGTCCTGGCGGCAACCGCATATTAACACATGCCGCCAGGAGAGAGCCACCGAGGCACCCACGCCTCTATGCAACAATGTGCAATTAGCAGGCATGCGGAATGCGGCATGCGGCATGTGGCATGTGGCATGCGGCTTGCAACTCATTTGCGGTGCAGCTGCAGCAACTGAGGCAACATTTTTATTTATTTACTCGCGTATTTTACTTTCGAGCGTTGCTAAAAGCGACACAGTTCAGAAAACAGTTAATGCCACTTGCTACCTGGCAGGCGGTGCAGGTGAGGTGGGTGCATGAGGCAGAAGAGAGGAAGTCTTACTCGAGTTTTTAATTAATGTCGCAGTAAGTCAGTAAGATTTACTAGTAGAGCAGTTGCAATTGGATTTAAGGCGGTCACGGGCTTTAGATAAGCAATGCAGTAGGAAAGAGAGAGAGAGAAGTGTAGAGATTGAGACAGATAATGGAGGACTTGTCAAAGTGGCATGCTACGCAAAATAAATCTTAAAGATACTTTAAGGTACTGTTGAATGGACACTTTAAGGAACTATAAGCTATGATCAAAATAATTTAATGAATTTATGATGTAGTTTGAAGTATTTTAATAATATTATTATTAATATTTTAATAGTATCATTTGAATATTTAATAATGATATTGGCCAAAGAAATATTGTTATTTTTTTTTTTTTTTATATATTAAACGTTCTTCTCTGCTTTGTGAAGGTATCCTTTGGTTGATGATAATTTTTAAAAATAAATCCAAATTCTTCAGTTGATAGTCTATAGCAAATCATGTTTCGAAAGATTCCACTTGCTAAAATGATTATGTTTCAAATGAAAACAAACCGAAATTGTTAGCATACATTTTTCATTTACAAAATCTTAACCACACATCAAATATTATTGAAACTTTTTATCAGTAGATAGATTTAAATATTTTAAATATTTTATTAAAATGCCCCTGCCGTTGTTACTATCACCGGAACCGGAATCGTGTTTAAGCCCACGAAGTATTTTATTATTATTCCCGATCAAGAGCCAAATTGATCTACTCTTTCGCATTTATCTGAGTGTCTATGTATATGTTTGTATATTTGCATTCATATATTGATATAATATTCAATCTTTTTCATTTTGTTCATCGTAGCATCATCGTACCATTAAATTTGCTACAATGAGATCAATTAACATATATATGAAATATTAATATGTTTTAAATATCTCGGAACGATTCCGAAATTCGATATACACATTTATAGAGTAAATGGAGCACAAGTACATAGAATATGGTACCGATTCTACTATATGTATAAGTATAGATACATCCCCACTCTGAACAGCTGATTACAATACGCTTATTATCTAGTCGGGTATATTCTTCTGGAGTACACCTGATCATTTTTTGATTTTCAATTCAAAGTTTTAATATATTTTATTTTGAATTGTAGTAAAAACATTTTCCTTCTATTTACATGTCTGTTATTTATAAAATCTTTTTAAATTTCAAAATAAACTTTTTCCATTTTTTTTTTTTTTTGTGTTCTTTACGTACCATTCAAATACCTCTTTATTTGATCGTCCCAGCAATATCCTTTAACACTCTTCGATCAGATCAGGTCTGCTTTTCTACTATATATATATATATTTCTATTTGTGTATATGTGCATTCCACTTGCTGCAGATCGTGGCTACTATTATATTAACACAGTTTTTTTTTTTTTTTTTGTTAGTCGATTACATTTCGCTTTCCTTAAACTGTAAGCACAAGAAACGCAGTCGAAATTAGATATGCGTTTATTATTATTGTGTTTCACATGTGTTTTCTTTTGTATTTTTGTATTATTTCGATAAACGTTCTTCAGGTGTGCGAACAAAAGGTGCACACACACATGCACACACGCGCACACACGAGAGCTCTACGTTCTGGGCTTCACTGCGTTCACCTCGAGGGTTTGCCACAAACTGATTCAAAGCAATGCAAATAAATGCGCAGCACATGTGAACATGGATATGGATATGGATATGGATACGGGGTGTATATACACACATACATGTATGTAGTACATACAACCACAGATCTCTCACCCTCTACACGCAACATGCACTTCGCACCCTCAAATGGCAACACATTCTTTTATGTATACATGTGTATGTGCTATATATTGCAGTGGGCAGGATCAGCTCGCAGCTCTCAGTGCGGAGCTCTCAGCTCTGCTCTTCAGCTCTCTCGAAGCGAAATTTCCTCACTACTGCAGGTGATAATCAGGTGTGTGTGGCTGTGGGTGTATGTGTATGTTGACAGGCCAAACAAACTGAGAACAACACGCAAGTAAATAAACAGTGTGCGGACAAACAGGTAACACAGGAAAAGGTCCYGCACAGGTATTTTGTTCAATTAAATGGACGCTGACAGATCAATTTGTGGGCCCATTTACAGCACTCATAAAACTCTCACTGTTCGTGCGTATGTGTGCGTGCGTGTGTGTGAGTATATGTTGCACTCGATCCTTTAGTTTGTTTAGTAAATTTCACAGAATCTCTGTTGTTTCATTTGAAAAATCCGCGTTTTATGATAGGCGCGACAACCAAAACACACATCTTTGGTTTTCAAAATTTTTACTATTTATGAGATTAACGAATCCAATTATGATTCCTATTTTGTTATTGCTTTATTAAAATTATTATTTGAAAATATTTGTTATATGCAGACCCATTTTTAATTAAACGTCTTTCAATTATATTATAAAATTA